TAAGTCATAGACAATAATCGGTGAATTTAATCGATTTTATTTCAGTCATTTTTATTACTGATTGCATTTAAATAATATTAAAGGGATTTAAATAGGGTCTTAATCAACAAAAATACGTTCGTCAACATTATGTTTTATTAATATTTCAGACGACATGAGTGGTTAAAGGCTGTCGGGCGGGAAGATCTCCTAACAAAGCTTATGGATGATAAAACACGACAACAATACAGAATCTGTGAGGATCACTTCGAAAGAACCTGTATTAAGCTTTCTAAAAACAGAACTGTGAAATATTTACACCACAATGCGTTTCCAAAACTCAACTTGCTGTCAAATGACAGTGCATGTTCGAGTTCGAGCCAATGTGCGAATGTGTCTACTAAAGTACTAAATCAGGACATTCAAGTTATACCTGCATTTGAAACTAGATCAACGCAAACAGCACTTCACCTTTCAGCGGACACTCCGAGAAAGAGGAAACTGGCACTTTCAGATTCTTTTTTTTGCCATTATAAGGACTTTAATGAAGGTAGTGTGAAATCAGGTTTTTTGATAATACCTCGTGACAATTTTATTGCATTAAAATTTGTTGAATTGCTTGAGCAAAAATTTCGCGAATATTTTGATCTTCATGTACAAATTGTTAATATTGGTAATGACATATTAGCACGTTTGCAAGATTGTACATTTCATATGCCATGTGTGTGAGTGTTTCCCATTGGATTATTTGAAAAAACTTTATATTAGATTTAGAATTTATCATTCGATTAAACGACGACACGACGAACTGACCAAAGCTATCCTGTCCCTCAAGATTGGCAAGGCCCCAGGACTCGACCTTATCACCGCAGAAATGCTGAGAGTCGACGTAAACTCCGCCGCCGACGTTCTGACACCTCTCATCGAAAACATCTGGATGGAAGAGGAACTCCCAGTCGACTGGAATAAGGGGCTTTTAATTACTGTGCCAAAGAAAGGGGATCTAAGCCAGTGTAGCAATTGGAGAGGTATCACTTTGCCTTCGATACCGTCAAAGGTTTTCTGCAAGATTATCTTGGATAGGTTATCGGGGGCCGTTGAACCTCTTTTGCGGAGGGAACAGGCTGGCTTCCGCCCGAACCGCTCGTGCACCGACCAGATCAATACTTTGCGTATCATTTTGGAGCAGGCATCAGAATGGCAAAGGGAAGTCTACCTAACCTTTGTAGACTTTGAAAAAGCCTTTGATACGCTGAAGTGGGCAAGTATATGGTCGCGACTCGCTGACATTGGTGTCCCGCCGAAAATCATCGACCTACTGTACTAAATATTCTTGTACGGTGACTCACGACGGCCTCATCTCCGAAGACATCGAGGTGCATGCGGGCGTCCGGCAAGGCTGCCTGCTTTCGCCCCTTCTCTTTCTGGTTGTCTTGGATGGAGTCATGAATCGCGCATATCAAGACCAACGGCGTGGAATAGAGTGGGGTATAATCGGAGTCTTAGAAGACTTAGATTATGCCGATGACCTCTGTTTGCTGAGCCACACGCATCACGATATGCAATCCAAACTTAATGACCTACATCGAGAAGCGGGTATCACAGGGCTCAAAATTAACTGCCGGAAGACCCAAGAGATGCGATCTGGAGTGAGAAATTGCACGCCATTACGGATTGGTGCAGAGGATGTGGCACGAGTCCACAATTTCACCTACCTCGGGAGCGTCGTGTCAGAAACTGGAGGTACCGAAGAGGACATCACTTCGCGCATTGCCAAGGCCAGAGCTACCTTCGCACAACTTCGCCCCATATGGCAGTCACGGAAATTGACCCGAAGGGTCAAGATCAAAATATTCGGGTCCAACGTTAAATCCGTTCTGCTCTATGGGTGTGAAACGTGGAAGGTCACAAAGGTTATCTCGCACCAGCTGCAGGTCTTCATCAACCGCTGCCTTCGCCGAATTCTCGGCATATACTGGCCCGAGAAAATCTCCAACGTCGAGCTATTGGAACGCTGCCACGAAATTCCGATCGACCAGCAGATCAAGCGCCGCAAGTGGAACTGGATTGGCCACACTCTCCGAAGGGACCCCGATCACATCCCTAAGCAGGCTCTGGATTGGAATCCCCAAGGAAAACGCAAACGTGGTCGACCCACGCAAACTTGGCGGCGCACTGTAGCGGACGAGGCGAAGAAGATCGGCAAAACCTGGAGCGAGATCAAGCGAGAAGCTCAAGACCGAACGAGATGGAGGACTGTTGTGGACGCCCTCTGCCCCATCTAGGGGACATAGGACCATAAGTCAAAGTAAGTCATTCGATTAAAAGACACAACAAATTATTAAAAACCAAAAGTAATAAAAAAAAATTTTTTGAGTAGGTAATTTGTAAAAAAATAACCTATTTTATTAAAAAATGTGAAACAAAGAACTTTTATTATATTTTTAATTTATTCAATTGTGCCAACCCTACCAAAATAGGTGGTGATTTAGACAATTGAATCATTTCGTTTCATGAATCCAACGTCCTAAAAATAAAAATATTGCGGTGTAAAAATCTATCACTTTTTTGTGCTTTCATCCTTCCAAAATAACAATTAATAATCTTTATCAATTAACATAAAAAAGAATTTCAAACACTTATTAGTTTATTAATTATTAAAATTTGTGAAAAAATATTTATTATACATGAATTGCATAATTCGTTAATCGGAACTTTTGCTCATAGGGATGGACATGAACAATCGCAACCAATCAATAAATCTATGGTGGTCATCTCACCATCGAATTACAATTATTCTCTCAGGCAGGTCAAAGGTCAGTCAGTACGTGTGCGTTTGCCTTGTATGGTCGGTTGTGTTTTCAGTGCCGTAACTAGCCTTTTATGCGCCCGGTGCGAGAAATATAAAAAAATGTAACCTTTTTGAATACAAAGTAACCTTCTACGGTGCGGAGCGATTGTGTAAGTTCACTATCGAAAAACATTGGCTAAAACTCATTTTTTATAACAAATAATAAATCAAATTCATGTTTACATGCAGTTTATGACATAATTTTTAAATTGTCACTATTAATATTTTTTACTGAATAACCAATGCAGTTCAAAAGTAACCTGGCAACACTGCGGCTATCTGAATGCGTGATTCTCGATGTACCTATCGGGGAATCCCCGAACATTGGGTGGGACGGCGCGGCAGAATGGAACGTTTGTGAATCGTTTAGTTTTGTAAGTCATCCTTTTCACTCTTGTCGAACGATGAATTTTCTATCTATCTCTCGCACGCTAGTGCGTCAGTAACGCCGCACGTAGTTAATGAATAAAATCAAAGATAAAGGGAGGACCAATGAATGTGGCTGACAGCATATGACAGCGTATAGGTGTACCAGAATCTCATGGCAAATAGGGAAAATAAACTTTGTTGAGAGCAATACTGGGGAAATTGGAATAAACGATCTTGATACTGTTTAATTTTTTACTTTTATGACTAATATTAATGAACATGAAGTACGAATATACATTTTAGGTAGGTATGTGTGGTGGAAGAATGTTGTTATACATCAGGTTTTTAACATAGGAAAATGTCTTGGAAATTAAATAAATCGTCCGTGAGAAAAGAAATGTCTGAGAAATTAATTATTTAAATTACCTACATATTTTCGCGTGGAACTGAAACATAGGCGGTGCCGTTCTTTTTGTATATGGCCAGGTCTGGGTTATTTAAAAAAAAGGTTACATTTTATTAAGAAAGAATCTTGAGTGACCCTAGCTGAAAAATTAAAAACTGCTAGATTTAAAAAAAAATGAACTGGCTGGATCAGGGGTGATTTACTGTTTGTACTCCGAATGACTGTGTGAATACACCGATCAAAATGGCGTGAATAGTTATGCGCAACTTTGAACGTTACCATCCTACTAATATTATAAACGCGAAAGTTTGTATGGATGATGGATGGATGTTTGTTACTCTTTCACGCAAAAACTACTCAATGGATTTTAATGAAACTTTACAATAATATAGCTTATACATCAGAATAACACATAGGCTACAATTTATAAACATATTGTTCGAAATACTAATCCTGCGCAGACGAAGTCGCGGGCACCAGCTAGTACTAAATGTATGAAACCGATACCGTTCTGACGCGTCACGTCACGACACATCAGACAAATATAAAACCACCTTTACAAGTGTTGTTGTTTCAAGATCGCTTGAAAAATGCCATATAGACATAGATAGTACAAAGGGCGCGTCTACACCATATTCGCAATAAAACAAAATGTACCTACTAACTACCATGCATGAAACAAAACTAGATACTGGTCTGGTCATTTCTGCGCCCTGTGCCTGGGCACCGCTGGCACCGCCCTAGTTACGGCACTGTGTGTTTTATGCGATTTCTCCACGAGTTGTTTGTTATTGTTATGTTGTTGTTTTTATAGAATAAAATGCATAATATTTAATTCTTTGTGATTTATTGTGTAGCAACGTTTATCCAGATAATCAAAATTATATACAGGGTGTTAGGTAAATGGGTATATGGGCCGACACTAGCCCATGTTAACATGGGCATATTATAAATGGTATGGTGAAGTCAGAAAATTGATATCTTCATTTTAATTATTTAAATTTTCATACAAATCGGATTTTATAAAAATTATTTTATGAAAATTTAAAAAAATAAAATGATGATATCAAATTTCTGACTACGCCATACCATTTATATGCCTATGTTAACATGGACTAGTATATTCATATACCCATTTACCTAACACCCTGTATATAATTTTGATTTTTAGATAAAATTAAAAATCAAACAAATAACGCACCTGGGTCCGCGGGTGTCTATGGGCGACGGTAATCACTTACCACTTACCATCAGGTGATCCGTCTTCTCGTTTGCCTCCTGTCACATAAAAAAAAAGTCGATTAGATTTCTTAAGAAAATATTCTCGATTCTAAAAAATATCGATTAGGTTTAAAAGAAGCGCCTCACTAAATAGAAGTAATAGAACTGTCAATACTGTCATAAATTCACAATCACTTTCTTACGCTGAATGGACCCTAATGGACCATAAAATTATTATGAAGCTTTGTCTCTGTTCCGTTTAATACTCATGTGCACATACTATTCAATAGCTGGTAACAACTAACATACCCACTTTATTATAAAGGATTGGAAACGTCTAAGTGTGTGGTTTATTATCATAACTCGAATGGAGGTTATGTTCACAATAACAAACTCGTTAAATCGCACAACATACAAGTGTGTAATAATAAAACGTAAAGACGTCACGCCGTGGCAAACAAGTTTACCGACATAGAAGCCCGTTTCGACACAGTCATGTCAATGTGACCTGTTTATGGGTGGTACAATAAAGAAAAACAACTAAAACGTAACTGTTTCGCGAGGATTTGATGTGTACCTAGTGTGTAGGACATTTGCTTGCCCGTTTCGACACAGTCATGTCAATGTGACCTGTTTATGGGTGGTACAATAAAGAAAAACAACTAAAACGTAACTGTTTCGCGAGGATTTGATGTGTACCTAGTGTGTAGGACATTTGCTTGTTTTCTATTTTCTTATAATTAAAAATGAACTCTTCATATTACAAACACTGTATAGTGCCCCACTGTAGGAGCACAAGTATAAACACTCCCACCAAATTATTTATCCGCTCACCAAGTAATCCAAAAATGCGGAAAAAGTGGCTAAAATTAGCGAGGAGAGAAGATGCTTCTAGTTTATCTACAGTTTCTAGAATGTATTTTTGTGAAGATCACTTTGACGTAAGTACCTAATGTATCTAAATAAAAATAGATACCTAAGCCACATACATTTATTCCTCACTATAAACGTAAATTATTGGCTTTACGATTGCAAATCTTGTACGTATATTTTACTGTTGCTCGTTATAATAAAAGTTCTATTACTTTTCTAGTTGCCCAACGATATGGCTAATTACATGCAGTATCATATTATGGGAACAGTAACACAAGTACACATGAAACCAGGTTGTTTGCCAAGTAAATTTGAATGTCGAGAAGAGGGAAAGAAACGCAGATGTACAGAACGGCCACCCGTTAAGAAACAGACTATAGAAATTAGTATACCTGGTTCCTCTCTGGATGAAAAAAATTCTGTAACAAGTATGTATAATAACATATTATGTTAGTAACTTACTTAGAGTCATCTCCATAAGATGCTCGTAAGAATGTGGAATTAAGTTTTCAGGGTTAGAACACTTGTTTACATGCTTCACAAATCCCGCTAATAATTGATATTAAAAATCAATTACCGCAGTAGTTACAGAACACGAGGGTGTTTGCCACGGCGTGACGTCACGCGTTCTTATTGTTTACCAAATTTTTTTGAATTTCTTTTCTGAAAATTTTAATAATCTTTATTTTGTACTGTAAATAATGTTGATTTTTGTATCTCCATATCATTATTAATCAGTACAAACTCAAATGTTAGTTTAAACTAGCCTATTCCCTGATAAGAGTTGAAGGTATTTACATAAATGTCAGAAGACAATCTTTTGGGATTAGTTATGGATATGAGTGATTCGGACGACTCTGAAATCGGTGACATTTTAATGTTGAACATGCTGAGTCGATTGAGACGGGAAGAAAACTCTTCGGCAGAAGGTATGATTAAGTCTTTAAATGCGGAGAAACTAGATACAATAAAAACTTTCTTAGGTCTCACCGGTGATCCCCACAACTGTTTTTAATGTACCCATGCGAAACTGTTTTTAACTACATATTATTATCTATACTAGTTTGTTGTTAGTCACCACAATTTCATAGTGAAATATCATCAATGTCACTGGATTTAACATTATTAATCTCTAAAATAATAATTGAATAACACCACTTTCATTATTTTCTCATTTCTTTGCAGACTCAGATCATTCTGGGGATGATGGTGGAAGTGAAGGTAAGCAAACTTTAAAAAAAAAAATATTTTATTTTATTTATACTCATACTTACGCATCTTATGATCTTAGGCCTTCCCTTCTACATTAATACCAAAAAATGGGAAACATGATAACAATTATTATTATGATGGTCAGCCTACGATTGATTATTTTCGCGTCTACGAAAAAAAATCAATTTCATTCCTAAGATGTTTAAGTTTCATTCCTTTCCTAAGATGTTTTTGTTTAATTCATTTCATTTACTGCCGACTTGCGTCGCTATGGTTACGCGTTTGCATACTCTCTTTCTCGCTCGCTCTTGTTATTTACAAACGATGAGCAGCGAGCTTAACACGAGCGTAAACCGAACCGCGCCGAGTTCCGCCGAGCTCCTCCGAGTGACGAAACGGCGCGACGGCCATAGTCGATGAAGGACGAACGTGAAATGTTATTTCGCTTTTTTTTTCTGTGGTTGTGATAATACAAGAAGTTTCGTAGTGAAAGAATGTGAAAATAAACAAAAATGGCACCGCAATTATCGCCAAATGATAGAGAGCGAATAATCCTCTTGAAGCTGCATGGCCATAATGTCGCTGAAATAGGGCGAATCACTGGAATATCGGTAAGTAAAAATCTTTTTGTTTGACCCTTTTTTCCTTTAAAAACGCTTTTATTTCGTGCTACATAGATGTTAAAATGCACTACAGTTACAGTTTCAATAAAAACACATTACATTTTGACAAAAAATGTAAACAAATACTTTTTGAAAAATAACTTGATGATGATGAGCCATCTCGCGTCGGTCATATCGAGCCATGTTAAGTCGCCTATGATGGCGGCTCGTAAAGTCTGACACAACAGGGTCATATCGGCCGACGCGTATCAGTCATTGAAGTAATATTACTTACATTATAACTCAATGGTATCAGTACGAATATTATAATTTGTAGTAAAATAAGTTGCAACAACGTTTTTTCGCATAAAAACAGTTTGTTTACATTTTTTTGCCACTTTCCAAAGGGTTAAGTTAACTTTTATTTTGCTACAGTCTTATTAGAATATTAATTTTTAATTTCAAGCAATATATTTTGCTTATGAATGACGTTTGGTTCTATTTTATCAATAAAACTTTTAGAATCGTAGGGCAAGATTTTAACTTCTTTTTTTTACTCGATATTTTTTTGATTACCATCAATAAAGTTCTTAACCTATTAAAAATTACACTTAAGAATGTCACTCTCATATTAATTAGCAATTGCATTGTATTTTTTGACTTAATTTTTTTTTTTAAGATAATACACTAATGATTTATTGTGATCAAGAAGCTAGCCATCTATGGTCTGCATTCTTAAACGACGACAATTCAATACAACCAACAATTTGTGTTTATTTAAGACTGCAGATTTATTTATTTTTTAATTTTCGTCGTCTCAGAAAGCCTATGAATTTGCTGTTCCGTTAGGGCTGGACGCTCCGGAACCGCGTCCATTTGACGAGCCCATGAGCCCGCACTAGACAGTCGGCTATGTTCCAGCGGCAGACGATACACTTCTGGCTGAAGCGATGGGAGGAGTGTGGAGACACTACTGCGCACCGCCGCAAGCTGTATAAAAGAGTCACGACGGCGCCGCAGGACGCGGATATAGTGGCAGCTCACATAGCCGACCCCAATCTGAGCACTAAAGCAACGTCGCAGAAGTTCAATGTGAGTCTTTACGAACAATTTAGCTCCTTCTCCCACCCTTTTATGTCTCTTGGAGAACTTTAGAGGTGGGAGGAGTGTGGAAACACCACTGCTCACCATCGCAAGCTGTATAAGAGAGTCACGACGGCGCCGCAGGACGCGGATATAGTGGCAGCTCACATAGCCGACCCCAATCTGAGCACTAAAGCAACGTCGCAGAAGTTCAATGTGAGTCTTTTTACGAACAATTTAGCTCCTTCTCCATTCCTTTTATGTCTCTTCGAGAACTTAGAGGTGGGAGGAGTGTGGAAACACCACTGCTCACCGCCGCGCCGCAAGCTGTACAAAAGAGTCACGACGGCGCCGCAGGACGCGGATATAGTGGCAGCTCACATAGCCGACCCCAATCTGAGCACTGAAGCAACGTCGCAGAAGTTCAATGTGAGTCTTTTTACGAACAATTTAGCTCCTTCTCCCACCCTTTTATGTCTCTTCGAGAACTTAGAGGTGGGAGGAGTGTGGAGACACTACTGTCCACCGCCGCAAGCTGTATAAGAGAGTCACGACGGCGCCGCAGGACGCGGATATAGTGGCAGCTCATAATAGCCGACCCTAATCTCAGTCAGTCAGTGCTAAAGCACAGCGTCATCGTGTTTTTGATGTACAGACAACAGCACATCAAATTATACAATTTTGTTACAAATTCGCCCCTATTACAAACTACATAAGAGACCTCAGTGTTCAGCTTTATGTGCTGTTGTCTGTACAATTAGCTTCTTATTATTATTTAGTAATACATTCCCAAAGGCAAGGGAATGCGACTAGGCTGCCGACCGAGCCTATAAGTGTACATATAAGCGCGGGTGACCTTGCCTAAAAAATCTAATTTGTTTAATCTGAAGCTGATCGTACATAGGCAGCGTTTTTTATTACATAATCTTGTCATTCAATTTCAATTAATGTAATGTAGGAATAAGTGTTTTTAAAGTCTCTGTAAAGTCTCTCACAATCTTCTCACAGAGTTCACCTTCTTTTTGAGATGACTAATTCATTGTTTTATTGCTTCAGATATCAGTTTACACAGTCAGGAGAAGGATAAAAGAATACAACCGTAGTAAGTATGATTTAATGTTGTAGTAACTATGTCTGTTCACTCGATTTTAAATTCCACCCTCGGCTATATCCCTAATTTACATAGAAACTAGGGACAATGAGTCCCTATTATTATTTTAAAAAATCTAGGAATAATAAGTCCTACTTTAGCAAATTGACAACCTTAACGAATGTAACACTGTCTAGTCTTATGACTGAGTAGGACTTTGCTAAGATCTCTATTACTTCGCTCATTGAATACCTTGATGTTTTTCAGAATTGCAGCAGCAGTTATTAACCGGCAACACTGAACAGATAAACAACACACCTTTAGTTTTTATCAAAGAAGAAAGAGAGAAAACACCCGCACAAAAGGAAGAGCAAGCGAGAAAAATTAAAACCCACGTTATCAGCCTGAATAACCAATTCAGTAGAGTGACCAATATAATGTCTCAAGAAAACACGGGTAGTAATTTGTCACTAATAAAGAGGTTAGAAAAAGTTTTGACTGCGATCGGGACGTATTCTGAAGCGAGAGCGTTTGCCTTGGCCAAAACACAGACGAAAAAGAAGAAAAAACTTCCTACTACGACGGTTCGGCGAAAAGACAACGCCATACAAGCTCCGAAAAAACAAAAACCGCTCGGCTCCTGTGATCCTCTACAGAATATGCAGTTAAATGCAACCGCGCCAATGTAAAGTGCATAAAAAAACATAATCGTACGCTGAACGAACAGTATTAATTTATCATAGGTTATAATAAGACAGTGACGACAGTGGCTTGGCGTGCGATAAAGCGAAAATAGATTGATTTTCATATTTTTATTATTTTAATAAAGTAGATAATAATTTTTCATGCGTTTGAATTTTCAACTTGCTCTGTTTTTTAATGTGGTAAGTTTCAGGATTTATCATTAACAAAAAAATTTAATGCGCTGGCTGACCTACATAAAGTTATCTTATCTACCCTCTTATTTACCTTATCATTTAGATTTTTTTGAAAAATCCAATGGCCACCAACCAATAAACCAAACCATAATAATCGATTGGAACTAATAATAATAATAGGGTATCAGTAGTTAGTCTATATATATAAAAGAAAGTCGTGTTAGTTACTTCGCTTATAACTCAAGAACGGCTGAACCGATTTAGCTGAAAATTGTCAGGGAGGTAGTTTAGAGCCAGGAGAAGGACATAGGATACTTTTTATCCCGTTCGAAATAAAAAAAAAGTCTGCTTATTTATTGCCATTAAGGCGGAACAAAGTTCGCCGGGTCAGCTAGTTTTTCATAAAATAAACATTTACCTTAACGAATGCTCAATGTCAAAATCAGTGATGTAGGTATAGAAAGTTATAAACTGACAAAGTATGTATGAAAAAAGTCATGAGTTACTTGTGATTTTTACCAGTTTTTACAATATTATATTGTAAAAACTGGCAATATTAGTAATATAATTATGTATTAACACCTTAATCTATGAAGGATTGAAAGTTTAAGATTATTTTATGTGTCTTTTATGTTATTTCAGATGACCTCTTATATGACTCCAGTCGCAAATCTAAAGGTAAATTTCTTGGAAGTACCTATCTTAATCTTGGATAGATTGCTACCGATCATACATTGGTACGTACAAGCCTCGCGTAACAGAATCGCTAGATGGCGTTACCTATAATAATTAAAAAAATATGTTTAAATCGACAAAATATCATATTTTAGTGTTCTTCTGACTTATGTTTGCCAATAGGGATGTTTCCTGGGTAAAAAAGCAAGAGTTTTAATTAGTCCGTCAGTTAGCTTATCAAAAACTACTCGACACGTATTTTTCACTTTTTAAAACTCATGAAAATGTAAAGAGATAAACTGTGCCAAAGTTCTAAAGAAAAGGCCCGTGACGTCAGTTAGTGCGTAAAAGTGCAGCACTTTGTGACATCGCGCGGAACTTCAACGCACTATAACTTTGTAATTATTTGTTTGATGGACAATAAAAAATATACGTGTCCAATATTTTTTTATACTAAAATTGACGGACTAAAAAATTTTTCATAGGAAACTAGCCTATTAGTTCTTATTTTTTACAGGCGCTGTTCACTCAGTACCTAAAACGCCGTGCAGTCTGTGCAGGAAATCAATAACAGGGTGAGAGATCACTATTGTATTAGCTAGGGGGTAGCATCATTAGGGTCGGATCTACCATATGGGCTTTTTGGGCTTCAGCCCAGGGCCCCGTAGATTCAAGGGGGCCCACAGCTAAGTCAAGTCAAAGTCAAAAACAGACGATAATGCGAAAGAGTATAATAGGTGGACCTCTAAGTGGTATTAGCCCAGGGCCCCCTAAATTCACGGTCCGGCCCTGAGCCTCATACAGGATGTTCCAAAAAGAACGTGCTAAAGTTAAGGCGATGATAAAAGTGATGAATGACCATCTAAACAAAAAAAACTTATAAAAGTATCACCATTTCAGAGATACGATTTTTTTAAATCCCCAGTTTTGACCCTATCGCAATCTTTTTCAATTTCACCAGACCGAATAAGAAGTTTTTTCATTTTAAAGACATTCATGGCGTGTTATGTCCAATGATTGGGAAGTTTACCCTGCGTAGATTTCTTCTACTTTCTACCAGAGTGTTTCGTGCAGGTTCGTGTTCGTATGCGTGCAATGCAACGTGCGCGCGTGTGGCACGTGCGACGCGCGCGGTCTGCACGCGAAACACTTCGTGCTACGCGCGCCGAGTGGGAGCACACAGGTAAATGTTAGACAAAATGATAAGCAGTTTGGGTAACTGAAAATGTAATTACTCATTAACATAACTGAATACTTACCTTTTAGAGGAATCAATGGAGCTGAGCAAACGCAGCGCTATTGTGACGAATTTTGCTATTTTTTGGCGGCGCGCGATATTTTTTAGATTTTGAAAATAAAATATTTATTTATTCCTAAACCCACATCATACAAGGTGAACTTGATGCCTTAATTAATGCATTCTTTTAATTAATATGCATTATATTAGCAACAATAATATATCCTTAAGTTGTTGGCGAATCTTTATCAATAAAATTAAATAATTTACTGATGCAATATTTTTTTAATCAATATCTTAGGTATTACAAGCTTCATTCCATAACATACCCAACTGGTTTTTGTTTCCAGAACGATTTGAATCTGGTGCTCGGCAAAATCCGGGATGCGTTACAGTCGTCCGGCTTCGTCCGGGCCCCGGACACGCGCTCGGACAACAGGGAAGGAAGCGACGCCGACAACGAAGAGGAATTTGAGTAAGTCACTTAAAAAACTATTATTAACTAATAATTAGGATTTTAAAAGGCGCTTTTACACGTCCCATTTTAGGTACTTTACCCTATCCACCAATTTTAGACAATAGGGATGTTTCCTGGGTCAAAAAGCAAGAGTTTTAATTAGTCCGTCAGTTAACTTATCAAAAAATATTCTACACGTATTTTTCACTTTTTCAAAGTAATGAAAATTTAAAGAGATAAAGCGCGCCAAAGTTCATAAGAAGAGGCCCGTGACGTCAATGAGTGCATAAAGGGCCGCACTTTGTGACGTCGCGCGGAACTTCAACGCACCATAACTATGTAATTATTTGTTAGATTGACAAATAAAAATATAGGTGTCCAATATTTTTTGATATTAAACATGACGGACTAAAAAATTTTTTTTAGGAAACTAGCCCATTATAAGTGAGCCAGTTCTGAGAATAAATAGCGCAATAAGACGCTCATTATAATATTCGCCTAGATTTAGAGGCAAACGTAGCCAGCATCAGTGAATAATTATTTTCATATATTCAACATGAAATCACTCACTCGTCGGCGACACTGGCGAGTGACAACCTTTAGAGTAGTTCCTACTTTTATAAACGGGACTATTCCCACCTCTCGTTCCCACCACTGCAACTCCTGTGTAGCCAGGATCTACAGCTTGACCGCCACAAAAAGTAAAAACCCAACCAATGAAGGTCAAGTTTGTCCCGGGGAAAAGTTAAACTGTCATTGGACCCGCAACGAAATTAATCAGAAGAACATAGGAGTTCGAAATTAAGGTTCGACTTCCCTCCATTGCTAAGCGGATGACAGGTGACAAACAGAGGTTTAAAACCTGTAAGAAAAGATTATGCACCACGGACAATAAATATCAATTAAGGGGGCCTATCTTATGAGCAATTAGCAACTACCTGCCAATAATATTTTTCACAAAATCGCTTAAAAGCACGGAAATTTTTCCTTGTCGCGACAAGATCGGTTTGTGATTGTTTGTGTGGTTTGTTTGTTCCTACTTTTATAGTGAAAATGCAATAGGTTTCCTCTAACCCTTTGGTTGGTTGGGGGGTGCGGGCCATCTGTGTTCTTAAGTATAAAAAACCTGCGACCGCTGATAATGCATTCCAGACTGCTCGATACGACCAATAAATCATCTTGACTGGAGGAGGGGCGCGCGGAATTTTTTGGATGGTTAAAAGGGGGCCCGTCTCAAATAAATTTGGGAACCAATGCTCTAACCAGTGCTAATTGGCGCCACTCTGTCTAATAACTATCAGCCAGTGACAGGACCTTACTTTACAGTAGCTCCTACTATTTGCAAAGTGAAAATGCAATTGACTTTCCATAACTTCAGTGCTCACCAGTTAGCGCCAGTCTTAGCCACCAGCGAGTGACCTGTCACTAAAGTCTGGTCCATGAGCACGTAGAATGTTGTCCAATGACCCCAAGCTACCAATCAATATCGCTCGCGCGTAGTGAGGGCTATCGTTTTTATACTTAACAGTTGGCACCCCTGGCGATTGACAGGACCTTACTCTACAGTGGCGCCATCTTGATGAGTGCAAATGCGATAGTCCTCCTACCACTTTCGCGCTCACCAGTTGGTGCCACTGTCTTCGCTACTAGCAAGTGACAGGACCTTACTCTACAGTGGCGCTAACTGGTAAGCGCTAAAACGATAGCCCTCATTATGTTGCTATCGCACGCTCACTGCTGGTGCCAGTCGCACAGTCGCGACAGCAATATAATTACGTGCGAGCGATAAGGATGGGTAGCTAGGGGTCATTGGACAAAATTCTACGTGCTCACGGACCAGACTATAACATGTGCGTTCGCCACAGTTGAGTAAGTTCACAACTGGTGAGTTCCAGCGGTAGCCCTCATTGAACTTATGTGTTGCCAGAGTGAAAACGGAGATAAAGCTGGAAATCGACGTGGAGGAACAAGACCCGCTCCTCGAAAGTGCGGAGTACGACGAACTATTCGCGCCGGGCGCGGGCGCTGCTCGAGGATCACAGGTATTAATATCTTGAAGCCACGATAGCCGAGCGGTGAAGGGGTCGGACTGGCGGCTTATTCCACTAATTCCCCGTTGACAATCCCCGTCAACGGGGATTAGTGAACTTTTTGTTCACTATTCCCCGTTATATTAGGATTTTATTTTGGCTTACTCATCAAAATGACAACTTCTCAAAATGACAACCGGGATGCAAAATGTCCACTTCTCGAAATTACAACTTCTTAAAATGTCAACTTCGCTAAAAGACAACTTCTCATAATAATATTGTCTTTTTCGGATATTACGATTAGTTGTGGACATTTTGCGACCCGGTTGTCATTTTGAGAAGTTGCCTTTATTTTTAACAGGAATAGTGGAATAAGTCGGACTGGCCGACTCGTGATCCGTTGAACGCAGGTTCGGTCCCCGCCGCCGCTCGACTATTGTGGTGAGCTCACTCGTGAGACAAGCATATTTAGCTTAGTACGAGGGGCTAACGGGAGTATTAGTAATTTGTAAAATAACAAATTACTAATAATCTTTTTTAAAAAAAATCTACGTTTATAAAAGCGAAAGGTCACTGTGTCACTGACTCGCTCACTCATCACGAAATCTCAGAAAGTGCTGTACCTCTAGTAGGAAAAACTTTCGAGTTCGTTTCGTTGCGTATTCAAAGTGTCATCGAAAAATTTTGTATGAAAAATTAAACAGCGCCCCCTAGCACAGTGTGTTATGGGACTGTATAAACGGACATTCTCATTGATTTGATGAAACGTATAGAGCTCAGTTATACAAACATGATAGTAAAACTCCTGTTTGAAAATTCCACGTAGTTTTCGCGGTATCAAAATTCAAAGTTACCTATTTTTTTACTTCAAAATTATGCAAAAATATTCTCACTCGTTAACTAATAACATTTAATTCAGAATTCTTATAATACTTCATAGAGCTCTTAAAACTACACGTAATAAGCGTATTAAGTGCTTCGTAAACGCATTCAGTTAATCTATATATATAAAAATGAAACCCGTTTCGCGTTGTCACGGCATCACGTGTGAACGGCTGAACCGATTTCGATAATTCTTTTTTTTAAATGTTTGTGGAAGTCCAAGGATGGTTCTTACGGAAAAAAATATTAAGAAAATCTCTACGCTAAGGCGGTACGAAGTTCGCCGGGTCAGCTAGTTAGGAAAAATGATTTTAGTGATTTTTGTTTTTATTATTTTTCTCAATTATACCTTAATATATGCAAACATTTTTAATTGCAAGATATAGTCTGATATTTAATCTAATTGTATAAAAAAAATCAGCTTTAAATTCCGTGATATATTTGAGGAAAATCAAATTGAAAATATGCGCCATATAGAATTGTAAATTTCCCATCACTTTTTAATAGCAATATTTCTTTTGGATGTTTAAATATCATCAGCTCGATTGTACCAAATTATTGTATTGACATTCGATTTACATAGGTTTCAAATCGATGAGAAAATTATTAAAGGTAGGATAAATTCGACTTCCTAGATTTGTTTACATACTTTTTTAGTTAGTTACTTACATACAACTTAAGTTAATATAAGAGTGTTAAAAAAGAAAAAAGACTCGACTTGAGAACCTCCTCCTTTTTTTGAAGTCGGTTAAAAACAATGTGAATGTGACTTTTTAGAACCTTCAACACTATGCACATAACAGGCGGGATTTGAAACTTTTTAGACATGAATTATTCCTTCCAAAATTGTCGACCCTAGACTCGTAAAAATTTTATTAAGACGTTTTATGTTTTTCTCAAATATATCACGGAGTTTAAAGCTGATTTTTTTTATTCAATTAGATTAAATATCAGACTATATCTTGCGATTAAAAATGTTTGCATATATTAAGGTATAATTGAGAAAAAAAATAAAAACAAAAATCACTAAAATCATTTTTCCTAATTAACTGAATGCGTTTACGAAGCACTTAATACGCTTATTACGTGTAGTTTTAGAAGCTCTATGAAGTATTATAACAATTCTGAATTAAATGTTATTAGTTAACGAGTGAGAATATTTTTGCATAATTTTGAAGTAAAAAAATAGGTAACTTTGAATTTTGATACCGCGAAAACTACGTGGAATTTTCAAACAGGAGTTTTACTATCATGTTTGTATAACTGAGCTCTATACGTTTCATCAAATCAATGAGAATGTCCGTTTATACAGTCCCATAACACACTGTGCTAGGGGGCGCTGTTTAATTTTTCATACAAAATTTTTCGATGACACTTTGAATACGCAACGAAACGAACTCGAAAGTTTTTCCTACTAGAGGTACTGGCACTGCGTAAACGTCACTTTTGAAGTTAACAAACGTTCGTTCGTTCATTTCAGCCAAATGAATGACGTCCAGTGCTGGACAAAGGCACGGTAATACTATCATAAAGGCCTCCCCCAAGGTTTTCCACAATGAACGGTCCTGCCTTAGCAAACATCCTCGCCGAAAACATGCTAAAGTTTCGGCGGTTGCCATGGCGATCGTCATTTTGTTAACAATTTCTAACAAGCGCTATTTTTGGTCAAACGCAGCCATTGTTGAGACAATAGTTCAGCTATTTGTGGATTTTAATAAGTGCTCTGATTTACTTTCAACGTAGCGATGTTATAGAAAACTCATATTTTACATACCTTTGAATGTTAATCAAATTTTAATGTAAAATCCAACTTCGAATGTGAAAAACTTTACTCTTACCATTGAAGTAATATTACTACGTATAGAACAGACATCGCGAACAAAATATGTACAGTGCGGGGTGCGGGGCGGGAATTTGACGGACAGCTGTCAGTCAAATCTATGACTATCAAGTTTCATAATTTATGGCGATAAAATCTGCACCAGAAAATGTCGTACTTCATTGATAGGATTGCACGAATAGTGACGTTCCTGGGGTCGCCTCATCATAGACATTGTAAAACGATTGTGAAAATAAACAAATCGGCTAAATTGTGTTAAATTTTCATGGTGCTCAATAGCAAAAAGGTTCAGCTACTTACATTATTTTCTTTTATTATATTGTGCGTTTCCTGTAATGTAATCTAAGCTCCCCTCCCTTAGACTAAAATTAGCCCTCCTAGACAAGTGACAAAACGTAGCAGTTGAAACATTCGAAATCACTTCGCTCTGCCGTTTTTTGGTGTTAGTTACTTCACTCTGTGATGCGATTTTAAAATTACAACTGGCGATTCCGAATTCACAACTGAGGGGACTGAGGCTAATCGTGTTACTTGTGCTACAAGTGCGTATGGGCTTCATACTGATGCTTAAGCCATTAATTATTTTTCTTCCCGATTAAAATCTAATGTAATCGATAATCGCCTTGAGAATCGTTAACTGGTATTTTCTAATTCGATAAAAAAATTACCCATCTCTAGTTTAAAACTGTCATCCAACAGCGCACGAAATATTATGAGTTATAGATAATGATACCATTACAGAGGCGACACTTCGTTTACGTTTAGTTTCTGCCTATTGAATTGGATACTGTAAGGAAACATCGTCATCATCATTTTAGCTACTGGACGTCCACTGCTGAACAAAGGCCTCCTCTAATGATTTCCACATCGCCCAGTTGATAGTGGCCTGCACCCAGCGTCTTCCTGCTATCTTCAGTCAGTCCATCTTGAGATTTTAGAAAAATTCCCACTCGTCACGGTAGGAACAAAGCTAGGGATGACCCACGCCTTCACTCCAGAACCAATAAAATAACTGAAAGTCAGAAACTTTCAGTTATTTTATTGTCTCTATTGTTAACTATCTCAGTGGTTGAGTACACGTATAATAGCTGTGAGGTAGAAGTTACGGGACTATTCCCACCTCTCCTTTTCACCGCTGCATCTCCTGTGTAGCTAGCACCTAGACTAGTTGATTTAAAGCCAAGGTATATCAGTTTTTAGGTAATGACTTAGTGCATCTAAAAATGTAAAACTTTCTAGTTTTTTGTAACATTGAAAAATCTAAAAAGAAGCATCATTTTTTTTACCAAGTGTTTCTAAGAAATTTAAATGGAAGCTTTTGATGACAACGTATTGCTTACTTTTTCAGCTGTCGAACGAATCACTTTTATACTCATAGGTCCTGTACATCGGTAGATTTGGTAAATAAATGAATCCATCCGGACTCAGAAACTAAAAAAATTAAAATAGCTGTAATTTTTTAATACTGGATTTGTCGATTAAATTGATCATATTACTGCGCCCTAACGGGTCGGACACTGGTGACCAGACACACTGTACAATTATTATAATTTTAGCCTATCTCGTGAGCTAGGTGTCAATAATTAGGGTGATTTACTAACTAACCAGTCGCATACGAACAACAGCAGTGAGATTCAAACAAGTTTGATCCATGATGCCGCACGACTATTGTGTGAGCCCACCCGTAACCCAAGCTTATTTAGCTTAACACAAGGGGCTGGACGGGACTATTAGTAATTTGTGCAATACAAAGTGCTTATAATCTTTAAAAAAATCTTTTTATTGCTGTATTTAACCTTCCTTTCGTATACTAATTTATGCGTCAGTGTCAAGTCTGCGATTTTTATTCTTTGAAATTTTCGTAAAATGGCTGCCGCCGCGGTGACGCCTTGTAATTAACAAATTAAAATTAAATTAGTGTTTTAAAGTGCATAAATGTACAACTTAATGGTAAAAAGTCATTCCTTGATTTTTACTTAATATGTATCTGGAGTTATTTGAACAGTATTTTCGTCTATAGGATGGCATATTTCAAAAAACAAAACTGCACTCAAGCGTGTTGTCACAGCAACCGCTGAGCACATACTAATTGAATTTCGGTCCGTGGACCTATTTACGAGCCAGAAACAGTCTAGTTGACATGTCTTCTCTAGTACGTAGTACATTATAACTCAATGACTCTTACGTCTTCTTTATTTCAGGTCGTACCAGAACAAGAAATAAAGTCAGAACCACCCGATACGAGTTCCCCGGTGTCACTGTCAACCGACATCGCCTCGTCGCGTCGTCAGTCCGCCGAGTCGGCCGGCTCTGCGTCGGATAGCGACTCCCAACCGCTGGCCAAGAGAAAGCGCATCGACCAAGGACAACCGACTGCAAGCCCAAAACCTTCGCCGTTAAGATCCAAAGACATTGAGAAACCGGACAAAGAAATATTATATTCAGAGTATGTATCTAATTATTTATTAAGGCCCGATTCGACCAAACTTTTATCCTAGAACAACTCCTGGTCTATTTGATACGATTTCAGTAGCTATCTATACTATCAATATGTACTTCTATACTAATATTATAAATAGATGAACTACGCTGAACTGTGCCACCAAACTCATTGACAAAGGAGCGCCAGAGCCACCATCGTTCAACAATACTTAGTTTCCAAAATGGCAAAAATCGGAACTAGCGATCCGGTATTGACGGTGGCGCCCCATGGCAATGTCACTGATGGGACGGTTCGTTGTAGTTAGACAATACTGCCCGATTACAGTGACTACTCCTCCTATGTACTGAATCGTTCGTTTCAGCTGAAAGACGTCCACTGCTGGACAAAGGCCTCCCCCAAGGATTTCCACGAAGACCGATCCTGCGCCGCTGGCATCCAGGCACCTCCCGCGACCTTTACCAGATCGTCGGTCCACCTAGTGGGAGGCCTGCCCACGCTACGTCTTCCGGCTCGTGGTCGCCACTCAAGAACTTTCCTGCCCCAGCGGCCATCAGCTCTACGAGCTATGTGCCCCGCCCACTGCCACTTAATTTTAGCGATTCTGCGGGCTATGTCAGTCACTCTGGTTCTCCTACGGATCTCCTTATTTCTGATACGATCACGCAGGGAAACTCCGAGCATAGCACGCTCCATCGCCCTTTGGGTGACCTTGAGCCTTATGAGGCCTAGGCTATCGTAAGCGAACACGTCTCAGCTCCGTATACCATCACTGACAACACACACTGGTCAAAGACTGAATGTACTGAATAAACTATTTGAATTTGAAGGGCATGACTAAAAAAAAATCATTTTCTATTGTTTCAGTCCCAACACAGACCCGGGGTCTCCGTCTGCCGCGGGCGCAATAACTCGTCTCAAAGAGTGAAAGCAGTTACATATATTGTAATTTGCCTTCTATTATGTTTAAGTTGCGACTGATTAAAATTATTATTTGAAAACGGTTATTTTATTGTTCACTTTCTTCCATTTTAATATTATTTTTGCTGCAATATTTGTCAGCTGATTGCCTACAGGATGACTTTGTAAACCGTATCCAATTTTTTTATTAACTTCATCTAAATTATTTTTAATCGTGGCAGTTTTCGCGAACATTTGAGAGTATGAACATCATACATCTATGTGGTGAACCGTACGAAACATACCCAGAGCCCCGATTACGGTAACTTTTAACGTCTACAATCCGGACACGCTTCATCGACGCTGCGATACGATTGGTCGAAACAGCTGACGTACGCTGTTGAACGACCAATCGTATCGCAGAATCGAGAAGCGTGTCTGGATTGTAAACGTTAAAAGTTACCGTAATCGGGGCTCAGCCCCCCTAGACAAAACGCACTTTTTGATCGAATCGAAAATCGAATCCGTCAAAACTCCATACAAAAAAGGGGCTTCTCGACCACTTTTCGACTGGTTTGCGATTATAGTTCCAAAATACTGAACTGTCCTATCGATGACATTGACAGCGGGGCGCCACCGTCAATACCGAATCGCTGGTTCCAGAGCTCTCTGGCTGGTTCCGATTTTTGCCATGTTGGAAACCATGAAGTTGAACGATGGTAGCGCCCCCCTGTCATTGAGTTTGGCGGGACAGTTCAGCGTGGGTCATCAGTATAATTTGCACTTTGTCTAGACCCATGACTGCACTAGTCACCTAGTCACATTCGTTTGACAGCTGTCATTCTAATCAAGCTATATTGGATTAATTAATTCAGTATAATTAATAGAATTAAGTTTTACAGGTTATTCAGTAAAAAAATACTAATAGTGTCAATTTACAAATTATTGAAATTGAAACGTGACACTTTCAAAATGTTGATTATTTTCAATTAAAATATGTTATATAGTACGAATCAGCTCTATGATATCAATCCCCCCCCCCCCCCAAAATGATTCTGCGATACGATTGGTCAAAACAGCTGACGTACGCTGTTGAACGACCAATCGTATCGCAGAATCGAGAAGCGTGTCTGGATTGTAGACGTTATAAGTTACCGTAATCGGGGCTCAGGAACATAAAAACCCTCGCTATGTTGCGGAAAACTAATGGTACTAATTTATTTTAATGGCAACAGTAACTGAAAACTTCATTGTCATGCACAGCTAAGGATAGATGCAGCATGTGTCAGAAATTGTATGAAGATTTTTCACTTTTATTCGGGTAGGTTCTAGGACTAAACTATTCAAAACCTTTAAAAGTGAAGAATAAAATAAGTAAGTTTAAAAGTAGTTTACCTACGTATTTATAGTACATAATACATCAACATTTTTTTTTAATTTTAACCTTCCAAGTAAGCATGTTGTACAATACGGCAATTTTTCTAAGTTTTCCTTAAAAATCCGGCAATTTTAGAATTAGAATACGGCAACCCTAAATTTGTCAGGAACAACTTATCCTTAGTCTGAGGGAACAACACTGTTTCTGACAAAACCCGACTGGCAACACTGCATACCACAGATGAGATACCAGGGTGAAGAAACTTCCATATAGTTCCAAAATACTGAACTGTCCTATGCATGACATTGACAGTGGGGCGCCACCGTCAATACCGGATCGCTAGCTATAGCCTGACCA